TAAACATATCCTCAGTAACAAAATAATATTCAGGAGTATCTAAACAATATACTGATTTAAAATAGATTACTCCCAAATATACCAATCTACAGAACATATAAACATAGTGCACTTTGTATTCTGTGTATTCGCTGTGTATTTTGTAAATTGTGTCATTTCTAGTTTTTTTTTCATGCATTATTTTTATGTAGGCTTCTTGATTGATATTAAGCTATCTTTGGCTCTTTACTTGCCGTAACAAATGTACATTTCGCATCTGTTGAACGAATAAAGGTATTCTGATTCTATATACGTAAAAAAAAAAATGGGAAGAGTTAGCTTGACATTTTAATTTTAAATATATCCTGTGAGGTAGTGCAAGTAGGCTGCAATATGCAAGTACATTATGTGAACATTGTTCATGCTTATAGAGAGGGAGAACCTGAACACACTATGAAGCAGTGAGTTCTGGATAGGGTCTCTAAATGGATTATGTTTGTCTTGATTGGCAGTCAGTGGCTTCATGCATCCATAACCATTTAGATGAAGCTCTTAGGGTTTTTGTTGTTGTTGTTGTTGTTGTGATGATGACGATGCTCAGCTGCTTTTCTCTTGCTTTCAGTCATGTCTGCAGAGGCTTCCTGTCAGATCATGCGGGGCCCTCTCTCCATTTGCACCCCCCAGTCCCTTTTACTGCCAGGCAGCATCTCTCCAGAATAATGCTGCTGCTCAGGCTAAGACCCTGCACCGCTACAAGGACAGACCCTGGGACTATCTGGAGAGTGAAGGTACTTCAGTCTGTCACATCCTTTTTATTCATTGTTTATTATTATTTTAGTTTTTATTTAGTACAGTCCAGAGACACAAACAAGGACACAACAACAGTAAAGGGGATATGATATTCCCATCTCACCACAAATAAATTAATCAGAATCAGTTTTACTACCTTTATTCATTTTAGTGTTTTTGATCTAATGAGTGTTATTACTGTTCTTTTATTATTACCTATCACAGCTCTCCACTTTCAATATAGTATTTGTCTTTTTTTGAAAAGCAAATTCCTTGTATGTGTAATAACACATACAAGGAATTAGCTTTTCAAAAAAAGAAATAGAATAAAGAAAAGACAGAAGAAACCAGTCCATCGGATCGCTTCAACTTTAAATAAGTATTTTACCCAGAAGAATAATTGTATTTATTATCTCTGGACTATATTCATCCGGAAACCCAAATCAAATATTGAAAGGTCCAATCCAAATGATCCAGAGTCCCAAAATGTATCAAAATCAGCCCAGTGAGTCCAGATATGGCCACTTTCTGGTTACAACTGACTTGTTTGATCCGGACAATGCCAGAAATGGATTCAGCATTCTCGATAACCCCCAAAACCCCTCCAAAACGGTCACAATTGGCCAAGATATTTTTGTAACTATTGTCTGAGCAGTTTCTATGTGCTGGGGACCCCTACTATACATTTCTAACATAAAACTTTGGGGTACTCAACATTTCCGGGTTCACAGCAGGACTCTATGAGCTGGCAAACAGACTATTACCTGTACTTGCTGTTACATTATTATTTTCCCCATGACAGAGTACATTAATAGGTATGGAACCAATCCAGTGTGGGCCGACTACAGGAGGAACCACAAAGGGGGAATCCCACCACAGAAGACACGCAAGACCTGCATTGTAATATGATAATCCGTCTTTCATTGGGTCTGAGCATCACATGTGTAAATCACCCTAACACTGCTTCTGTTTGTGTAGAGAGGAGACAAGGTATCTGGAAACCCGTGTCCAGTGTGTCGGGATTCAAACATCGTGGTCCACCATCAGGTGGGTTAGCATCTCCTTACAGCACCATCAACAAAGATACACTGGGTTCTATTATACATCCCTCACCACACCTGAGCTACATGCTGTGTACCTGATCTGTTTGCATGGAAATGTAATTGTTGAAATATTGAACACTCTTTAGATACAAAAGGTAACACAAAGTGCTAAATACATATCAATAAATGTACTATGTATAACAACCTTATTATACCTTATGACTTTATTCTAATCTCATGCCTCTGGCTGCATTGTTCTCTCAAATAAACTGGCACATTTCCCTTCAAAATGAATAAAGGAAATAAGCAAGAAAGTGAAACATTTTACATCTTGGTTTGTGCTTCTGTCAAGTTTGTTCAGTATTTTTAAAGAAATAAACTAGTACTGAACCAGTGATTGTGATTGTTATTGAACAACCTTCTCAATATTTTCTTGACTATTTTAGAAAATTCAGAAAAATCCAAAAGCTGATATCTGACAGTCAAAACATCGATAGATAATAAATGCAGCGTATATAATGTACATTTGGTGGATACTTTGTGTTGAGATCCCAGGGAGACTGAGCTTTATTTTGTTGTCCTCTCTTCCAGAATGTGAAGCTGCTGCAGCAGTTCATCAGTCCCCAGACGGGGATGCTGTACGATCCCACTCGCACTGGTGAGTCCACAGTGAGTGTGTGTTGCTGCTGAATCCTGTCTATTCTTCCAGACTGCTCATGTTGTGTTTGTGGACTGTCTGCAGGTGTGTGTATGAAACAGCAGAAGAAGCTAAATGAGGCAGTCGGCACGGCGAGAGATCACGGTACGTACCACAAGACCCCTTTGTAAATACGTCCTATTCTTTCTTCAAATGTTTCCTTCACTGTATTGTGTTTTTAAAGGTTTCTGTGCATGTGAATGGCAGGGTGTCCGCGGGGTCTTAAAAAGTATTAAAAGTTGATAAATCAATTTAGCGAAAATTAAGGCTTTTAAAAAGTATTAAACGGCATTTTCCAAGGTATTAAGAAGTCCCACAGCAACGACAACATGAAACACCCTTTAATTTACTGAAACGACATGTCGGGAAACCCCCTCAAGGCGGCCCCATGCATAGCGCGCCGTAAAATGCTGCTTATTATTTTAAGTTTAGTTGCCTTGCTCCGCTCTGTGTGGGAGGGGGGTCCAAGGTGGGTAGACCGGTATACGCAACGCTCTGGGGGTCCAAAGGCTCCGTGTGTAAGCCCTATATGATCATTTTCTGATAACGATGAAATAGCCCGCCTCCCTCTCCCCACGTCTCCTGCTGCTGCTGGGCTGTCAGAAGAGGGGGAGGAAAAGAGAGGCAGGCACCGTTTATTAAA